AATATCCGGTTTTCTCCATAAAATAATTTTAACTAAACAGTATTTATTAAAAAAATCTAGCTTCTCTATTATGGAATAAGAATATCTGTATTAAAGGTAGGTTAATATATTATAACAAAAATATCATCTAATTTTGTAATTTTAAGGTTAGAAAAATTTATTTTGACCAAAATAAATAAGTAATTTGGATTATTTAAAACACAGTATAATATAATATAATATAATAATTTATAAATGTGGTAGTTTTTCTTATCCAGCTTAAAGTGTACCTACATAAAGTTTTGTCAATACAAATAGTTAAAAAGCTTCGACTGAACTTGATCTACATCACAAAATCATTATAACTTTAAAAATTTTAATAAATCACATGTCATGGGAGTATTAAATATTTTCACATTGCAAGTTCCTCTAAAAATTGTTTGTTTTCTTATAATCTAACTTAAAGTAGGTATGCCGAGAGGTATGCACAAGTTTTGTCGTTAGAAGTATAAAAGCTTCAATTTAATTTGGACCATATTCAACAATTATTTAGTATTCCTAAATTTATTTATGACCATATTAACACACTCTTCCAAATAATCCACTTATATATTTTGGTCAAAATAGATTTTTCTAACCTTAAAATACAAAATTAGATGATATTTTTTGTTCTAATACATTAACCTACCTTTGATACAGATATTCTTATTTCATAATAGAGAAGTAAGATTTTTTTTAATAAATGCTGTTTAGTTAAAACTATTTTATGGAGAAATGTAGAACCAATGCACAAAAATATCACTTGTATTGCACCTTACACTTTGGAATTTCATTAAATGCAGTATTTATATTCCTAAATTCTTAAACCAGCCATTGTTATTGTGATACTATGAAGATTTATTAACTTTTAACGCTTAAACATAAGCGGTAACACTGTAAATATTATTTCTTTCATTGACTATACTTTGAAAGATACATAACCTGAAAAGCCTTAAATGACAAATTTTCAAAAGACTGCGTTCCGTACGTGGTCAAGTGGTGGGACTTTGAGGTGTGGAGCATAGTACACCGCAGTTGTAACTAATCAATTTATAACTAAAAGAGAAAGGGCTTTAAAAAATGTGAACAAATTAGGAAAATCTATAAAATAAAAGTCAATTTTTATATTTACGCATTGGGTACCTACAATGTTTGTCCGGTGGTACCTGAGTCATCTTTTTTATGACATTGTTTAACTGAAAGTCAGTATATACCTATATAAACTGCTCGTCATAAAAAACGACGCACCTAGTTTTTTGGAAAATATTTGAAAGCTCGTTATTGGAAAATAACTGAATCGATTTTGAAAATCTTTGAAAATTCTGAATAGCTGATTCTTTGACTCTTATGTCTAATTTTGGGAATACGATATTTTGCACATAGCATTATACTACAGGGTGTTAAACGAAGAGATGAATTTTTTTCGAAATTTCAAGTTATTCCCATTCATAGGGCAGTTGACTTTGATAGTCGTAATACCCCTCCCTGATATAAGTTGGGTAATCCCTCGGAACGTTTTCGAGATTTTGTGGATATCTTGGCTAACTACGATTATATGCCAATTTTTTGAAAATTGTCCTTATTCCCCAGTTTAGTCCAAAAAATGAGCAATAGTGGATTCTTTGACTTACGTCTAATTTTGGGAATACGATATTGTGTACATGACATTATACTACAGGGTGTTAAAAAAAGAGATGTGTTTTTCCAAAATTCCAAATCCCCATTCACAGGGCAGTTGTGCTTGATAGTCGTAATACCCCTCCCTAGTAACAGTTAGGTAATCCCTCGGGACGTTTTCATGATTTTGTGGATATCTTGGCTAACTACGATTATATGGCAATTTTTCGAAAATTGTCGTTATTCTCCATTTTAGTCCAAAAAATGAGCAATAGTTGATTCTTTGACTCTTATGTCTAATTTTGGGAATACGATATTGTGCACTTAGCTACATACTACAGGGTGTTAAAAAAAAAGAGATGTTTTTTTCCAACATTTCAAATCCCCATTCACAGGGCAGTTGAGCTTGATAGTCGTAATACCGCTCCCTGATATAAGTTGGGTAATCCCTTGGAACGTTTTCGAGATTTTGTGGATATCTTGGCTAACTACGATTATATGCCAATTTTTTGAAAATTGTCCTTATTCCCCAGTTTAGTCCAAAAAATGAGCAATAGTAGATTCTTTGACTTATGTCTAATTTTGGGAATACGATATTGTGTACATGACATTATACTACAGGGTGTTAAAAAAAGAGATGTTTTTTTCCAAAATTCCAAATCCCCATTCACAGGGCAGTTGTGCTTAATAGTCGTAATACCCCTCCCTAGTAACAGTTAGGTAATCCCTCGGGACATTTTCGAGATTTTGTGGATATCTTGGCTAACTACGATTATATGGCAATTTTTCGAAAATTGTCGTTATTCTCCATTTTAGTCCAAAAAATGAGCAATAGTTGATTCTTTGACTCTTATGTCTAGTTTTGGGAATACGATATTGTGCACTTAGCTACATACTACAGGGTGTTAAAAAAAAAGAGATGTTTTTTTCCAAAATTCCAAATCCCCATTTACAGGGCAGTTGAGCTTGATAGTCGTAATACCTCTCCCTAATAACAGTTAGGTAATCCCTCGGCAAGTTTTCGAGATTTTGTGGATATCTTGGCTAACTACGATTATAAGGCAATTTTTATAAAATTCACGTTATTCTCCTCTTAAGTCACAAAAATGAGCAAACTACGGAAGGTATCTATTAGTTATCAGTGCTTTCAGTTTATGTACGTTGCGTGATTCATTAAATCTGAAATTTTTTACACGAAAGCATTTTTTTTTTGGTGAAATTCAAAATAAAAACGCAAACCAAACAGCATTATTCTCGTAAACTTATGCAGGCTATATTCATGCAATTTTCTACAAACGGTTGACCATGAATGTTTAAAAAATATGGTGCATATCTGGTTTTGACTTTCATCGCTTCAATTATTGTTGTCATTTTTTTCGTCGAATATGAAAATATTTTTGCTATGCTATGTGCACAATATTGTATTCCCAAACTTGGACATAAGGGTCAAAGAATCAACTATTGCTCATTATTTGGACTAAAATGGAGAATTACGACAATTTTCAAAAAATTGCCATATAATCGTAGTTAGCCAAGATATCCCCAAAATCTCGAAAATGTCCCGAGGGATTACCTAACTGTTATTAGGGAGGGGTATTACGACTATCAAGCTTAACTGCCCTGTGAATGGGGATTTGGAATTTTGGAAAAAAAAAATATCTCTTTTTTTTAACACCCTGTAGTATGTAGCTAAGTGTACAATATAGTATTCCCAAAATTAGACATAAGAGTCAAAGAATCAACTATTGCTCATTTTTTGGACTAAAATGGAGAATAACGACAATTTTCGAAAAATTGCCATATAATCGTAGTTAGTCAAGATATCCACAAAATCTCGAAAACGTCCCGAGGGATTACCTAACTGTTACTAGGGAGGGGTATTACGACTATCAAGCACAACTGCCCTGTGAATGGGGATTTGGAATTTTGGAAAAAAATATCTCTTTTTTTAACACCCTGTAGTATAATGTCATGTACACAATATCGTATTCCCAAAATTAGACGTAAGTCAAAGAATCCACTATTGCTCATTTTTTGGACTAAACTGGGGAATAAGGACAATTTTAAAAAAATTGGCATATAATCGTAGTTAGCCAAGATATCCACAAAATCTTGAAAACGTTCCGAGGGATTACCCAACTTATACCAGGGAGAGGTATTACGACTATCAAAGTCAACTGCCCTATGAATGGGAATAACTTGAAATTTCGAAAAAAATGCATCTCTTCGTTTAACACCCTGTAGTATAATGCTATGTGCAAAATATCGTATTCCCAAAATTAGACATAAGAGTCAAAGAATCAACTATTCAGAATTTTCAAAGATTTTCAAAATCGATTCAGTAATTTTCCAATAACGAGCTTTCAAATATTTTCCAAAAAACTAGGTGCGTCGATTTTTATGACGAGCAGTTATATATGGTTTAGGAGTACCTATATATCCTGAATCTCACGAAATGTCCCCCGATGGTGTTACCCCATGATATTTAATAAAACTAAATGAGTTTGACCTACACTTTTATTGTGTTTTGATCTTTCATAATTAAGTAGATATTGCAGCTCAGGTTCCAGATTTTTAACCGCAATTAATTATTTTTTACAATGTTTTAAAAGTCTAAAACCTATCCTCCGTGAAAGTTACTCTTTCTAGGTTAACCTATATGTTTTCAAATATCTGAGGTAGTAAAAGGATACTAAAAATATCAGTTCACTAAGTAAATTAAACACTGTGTTTAAAACACATCCTAAGCAATCGAATCAAATATAAAATATTATTAAAAATTAAATAAGATAATTTTTATAACCATTTATGTAGGTGTTACAAAAATTGATTCTATCCTCCGTGAATCTGTTTTTGCTTTAAATTTTTTGCAACGGATGGGGCTTTAATCATTTTAAATAAGCAAAAACCTCTGTTTACGACATTATATATGTGACCTCCTTACGACCTAAAAATAGAAAAATGATACCGGCGCATTCGCCATTTTTATAAAAATGGCGAATGCGTTAACTTGTACTTAATACAGTAACAAAAACAATATTTATAAAAAATACGGAAAGAATGGCGCCCATACCATCAAAAACCCGCCTGCTGAAATGTTCAAAAAGAATCTTGGGGTTTGAACTGACTTTTCCCACAACATGGAATAATTTTCGATAATTGCCCGATAAAAAAGTGACGGCAACATCCAACATATCAAAAAGCTCTTATAATCGATCTGTCAATTAAGCGGCAGTAGCCGCAGCAGCGATACGGCAGGAATTCGCCGGGCAGATCCAACCGTGATGATCAGCCATTGCCGGCGTGACGTCATTGGGCCCGAAGAGCAGGTTATTAGACGTGAGGCCACGCCCAGTCGCGGCCTGCTGCGCCGTTACTGGGCACTCGCCAGTCGTTTCTCTCTATTTCGCACGGTACGGGCCAGCCTCCTCAGCAACTGCCTACGGTACCCGAGAACCTGCTCGAGTGACTCGAGTCACTTATCCAGTTTTCGTTTGGGTGCGTAACAGTGACGTTTCGTTCAGATTTTTAACTGATTTTGTGCAGGATTTCAGTGGTTTTGTGAAACATTTTGGGGTGCACATATGTGTTCACTTGGTTAACAGTGTTTCGTGCAACTTTTTTGATCGATAGAGTTTAGGTGAGTGCATTTTTGTTGAAAGGAATTTAAAAAGGCTGGTTTATAACCTGTTTTATAGGATTATTTATATCTCAAACGGTTTATAAGTTAATATTTAGTGGAATTTAAGTTTTGGTTTTAGATTTTAAGTAGGTAAGAAGTGTACCTAAATCATTTTTTGTTAATAATTAAAAACTAAAAAAGTAAACAACAATCTAGGACTAGACGAATGACAAAAACTTGATTATAATGTAGTATACCTATTATAGTATTTTATGTATCAAGTTTGACAAAAAATAAGTTAATGAGGGTATAGAAAAGTTTATAAACGAGGTGCATACTATACTTTTTCTACGACAAATACTTATTATTATCTTAAAATGATTTAAATCAAAAATTTGTTTAGAGCGCCATCTATGAAACAACAGGGGAAAGTGTCAAATGTCGCGTTTTTACATTTTATAAACACAATTATAAATCGAAATGTATTTCTTGAAAATTGACAGTTTTTCACAGTGAAAGTAAAGAAAATGTTTTATGAGGACTTTACAGTGGAGTCCGTGCCCGAATTTAAGTTATAGTTTACTGCCGGCGAAATTAAAAGGTCAGTACAATGTTCATATAAACTTTTCAAATATTGGCGTTGAGAAACTATTTAATACTTTTGTATTTTTGTATTGAGATAATAAAATAATTTTCACATTTAGTATTATTTTACAAGAAAGGCAATTTATTTTAACGATTGTGTGACATTTGACAACTGTCAACTAACTTAAAACTAACTTCAGCCCGTGACTAAAGCGCCATAAGGCCACAACTTATCAATGTGTATTTAAAAGATCACTTAGTGTCATGAAAACATGTACGATAAAGGACGTTTTAAAGGTGGGAGTAGAAAAAATTATTTATTGTATATAAACTAACTTATCATAAAAGTAGTAAGTATCTGAAACCTGTAAAATCAAACCTAATCTTAAACATAACTAAAAATGACAACTTCTGAATATGAATCATATTAAATGATACCTCACTTATAAAAATTCATAAAACTATATTTTCATGAAAATTTAAACCAATCCATATCACTTTTTAAAGTGGAATGACATATATTCCTTAAAGTATACTTACTTATATTACAGAATGAATTATTCTTTTTCACATGTTATCCAAAGAAGTAAGAATAATAAACTCCTACAAACTTTTATTAAAAATGCTAAAACTGGTACTTAATAGTTTCTTATTACTATCGCATCTAACTTATCGGATTTGAAGAACCTATCAGGAAGGAATACTTAGGTATTTCGTATTTTTTACCGGAAAGATAATACCTACCTACCTAATAGTTATAATAAAGAAAGCGGTTAGATTGGGTCAAATTTTTCTGATATCCATGGTAATTGAGGTGTTTTGTTACGCGATAGGACCCATCCAAGACCTACTTTCCGCTAATCTGCAAGCTGCACTTCAAAAAGCACATGTCTAGGATAATGACAGACCTTAATGAGCTTAGATAAGATACCTTCCTCGTATATATATATCGTATTGTAAAAAAAGAGCTTGCTTCAGCATGCTTAATTACTATTTTTGATAAGGACTAAAGTAGGATTTTTGTTTTAATTATTTTAATTATGGTAATAATTGTATGATGTGGATGATGAATAATTTTATTTTAGTTAGGTATATCCAATTACGTTAAATACACAGAAATAATTAGTTATTGATAAAATGGTTATATGTAGCAAAAACATACTATTTGTTAATGTAGTAGCATGACATAATTATAGGGGTACCATTAATGTTGGTTGTGATTTAAGTTAATTAATATGTAAACATTTATAATAATACGGAAATTCATTTATATTTTGAATATTTTCCTACTTATGTTTTTGCAATAAAAGAGTAAATAATTGAAAAACATTGATAATCTATAAATTGTAGATTTTATTTATATATATGGGTGAATATATTGAGATGTCCCCCAAGTGAAAATGATTATTTTTTTATTTTTGGTTTTTTCACTGTTAGTCTAGAATGGGGTTTTTGGGAAGCCACCAGGTCTAGTAATAACATAACATAAGTGGTTCTGCACTATTGCAAGAATTTTAAGAAATCATACATTTTGAATATTAGAGCTTCACGGAAGATAGCTTCACGGAGGTTAGGATTTCGTATGTTTTTTATAAACATTCCTTTGTGTATTTGAAATAAGTTATTGTACACTGAAAAAAAGAAACCTTTGCCCCAAGGAAATCTGCCATTCACTCAAAGGAATGGGGACTTTGGATAGGTCCAAATGAATGAAGGGTTTAAAGCAAATACGTCATTTCTTTGAGATCATTTCATGATTTGTCTTTGTTGCAAAGAAACATGAATTTAGAAGAAGATCTTCGTTATAGGTCCTTAAATGCCGTGCTTTTATTAATAACCCGGTACTGATTTGGATCAAAGGCTTAAGTAAATTGAAATAAAGAAAAGCGGGCTTACTACAAAATCTTAGGTTCTTGTTCTTAAAGAATTAGGAATTTGTAGCAAAAGTCGGATGTCTGGATTTAAATCTATTAGCATTTAAGTTAAGTAATTTAATTTTTTGTAACAAAATCCAAGTTTTTATTTCAAATCCATAAGCGTTTGATTAAAAAACTATTGTTATTTGTATCAAAACTCGGATTTCTTGCTCTTAATCTATGGGCATTTGAACCAAAGCCCGAATGTCTTTAGCTGAAACTCTTTGTTTTTAGAAAATTGCCTGCCTAAATTAAAAAAAACTACAATAATTTTTACTAAAAACATATTTTTATTAAAAATATAAAAGACATTGTTTATACAGTCATAAGCATAAAATACATTGTTTATACAAAATACAAAAAACTGATTATTCTTTCACTCATAAACATAAAATACATTGTTTATACACTGAAAAAAGTCAGTATTAATTTTTAAGTTGTAGGTGAATTTGAGGCCAACCTTTTATTATTTAAAACACTGTCTATAAAAGTTAAGAACCGTAATTAATTTAATGAAACATTCAATATTATTATAATAAGTGTTTCCTAACATTTAACTCGTAGAGCATTTGGGTACATGAATTTAATGTAACCCTGCGTGTCTTTATTATTAAGACAATTTTCTTTAGGGTAAATATATAAACATTTATTTATATTGGAAGTACTTGTTTCTTTATTGTTATGAATTCAGGGATTTTATTAAATAATCAAGCTATTATTGTTATAGGTTATATAGGGATAAAACTATAATGCACAATGAATTTATTTTAACGTTAGTATTCGTTGTTTACATTCCTTGCAAGCATCAGAAAGAAATCATAACCTATAACAACAAGTTGGTATTGCGTCATTGGTACGAGAGCCTCCATGCAGATACTTTGTACGTTTTGTCGGTTTCATAAAACAGTTTTTTGTGTTTATGGTAAAGAAAAAATGTCATGTAAGGAGCAACTGGAGGGTTTAGGTCTATTCCCAAATTCAAAGGTATACCTTTGAACACTTATAAGTGTTTAGACCTCATGTAAATTAATTTGGGAAAGGTACATTTGTGATAGGTGACTCTTTTTTATTATTTAGAAGAAGCCATTACGCTTGAAGTGCTGCTAGTCCTCGACTCGCAAAGTGTTTTCCAACTTATTTCTAAATTAGGAGAGAGAATTGCAGTCATCAAAAAATTACAGAGTTACGAGATAAGCAGGAGCAATTAATGATCTGTTATCAGGTAGTATTTTTGTTAACTGTTTTAAAGATGTGGTCAGAGTCGTTCGGCATTGGCCGTATGCGACAGTATTAAATTTCGGCCGATCAAGGTGCTCTGACCACAGCCTAAGAGTATTTATTTAGTCCATTTTGTATTTTTATATTCTATAAAATAGGATATAATAAAATTGTTTAAAAATATTATATGCACATTTTATTTCTCATCAATCAAACAAAAAGTATGAAATTCAGGCTATACATTAGTATACATTAGTCAAAAAAATTCTATAGTGGAAATGCAAAACGTTGCCAAATCAGCGGATTTTGAGATTTTGTTATTTATGTGGTCTGTACTTTTGTATCAATAAACATTTTTTTGTCTACTTAAAATTATTCAAGTGCTAACATAAATACAATTTTGATAAAACAAAAAAAAATAATACCCAAGTACATGTCTGCAGATCAAAACAAAATCTCGCAATCCGATAATTTGGTATTTAGTTTTGCATTTTCACTTTAGTACATATTACCTAAAAATGCTGTTTGCTAGCAGGCTCCAAGCATTAAATAATAAGACATTGTTTTAACAACAAATACATTTAATGTGTTTCAAAAATAAGCCTATTCTAGATGTTAAGGCAACTCGATGTTTACTTAAAGTAATGATGCAGTTAAAAATAACTCAACTAACTTTTAATATTTCAAATCCACCATGCATTTATATCAAATGCACGTTTCTTAGGCCATATCCGAACCCGTAACTACTTCACCACAAATGCATAGCGTTTATATTTAATGCTAAGTTTTTTCAGTGTACAAAATACAAAAAACTGATTATTCTTAAACTCAAAGAAATTTCCACCTAGGGCTATGGTCTAGCTGGCCTTTTTAGAAATCCGCCTCTGGATATCTGTCAAGAAATAAGAAGGATATATTCTCCTCCCAAAGATTAATTTTTTTGGAAAATAATGCCGTAAGTACTTATTTGTCAATATGTTTTAAGACTTTAACACAAAACCATTCTAATATTGAATTAATCCCAGTGCATTTGAGCCAAAACCTACATATATGTGTGTTTTATCTATGGAGGACATGACTTGCTGACATGTAGGTTTTGGCTCAAATGCACGGGGATTTATTTAATATTATGATGCTTTTGTGTTAAAGTCTTAAAACATATTGACAAATGCCGCATTATTTTCTTACAAAATTTTAATCTTTGGGAGAAGGTATAGGTAGCCATTTTTATTTTCCTGTTCTAAGAAAGCGTTTTACAGAATGATAATATTTGCATGAAATAATTATATTTTAGTCGAT